ATCTCCTATTTCTAATAAGAAAAATAAACTGCACGGTTACAAAGAAAACTCAATTAAAAAAGCAAAAAACTGAAATGAATTTTACCTTGTCCATCACATCGGATGTAACATAGATAAAAAGTGACTGCTTGCCAAACAGACAAAGAGACAGACTTATGGATAACAGATATCATAAATTTATATATATATGTCTGTATATTCTTCATTATGCATATCATTATATACGTATTTATATGCATCTCCGTGACAGATGCAATAAAGGTATTTGCTTTTCATCGATCATAACGGAGGACGGAAGCCCGTAATCGGATGATTTGTCGCCCGCTAATTAACTGACAGGCCGTAAATAAAAAGGAGAGTTAATGGATTTTGTGTTGCATTGATTTGTCAAGAAAAGCATACATAATAAATGCCTCACGTGGTTATTTAAATAACAATATCGATCGCATCGCATTTCCAAAGGAAAGAGATGGGAAATGTGGCACAATAAGCAATGCTAAAATAAAAGCGAATCAGTGGTCGGCGATTGAAAGAAATCGTAAAGAATATACCCTGAATTGGAATCTGAGTTATCTAGCTTGCTAGCTAGCTAACTAAACAGAGGAAAAATAAAGAAAATAGCAGATATAGACGCATTTCTATTGATATATAGAAGAAAGTCCTTATTTGTAACAGGTAGGTTAATCGATACATACTAGCTAACTTGGTACCGAAAATAGATACAGGTAGATATTATTTCGTATGACTAATAGCTATTATTTTTCAATAAATGATCATCATTACAAGGCACAAGAGACGCTCAAGTTAGAAGGCTTTGGTATGAAAGTAAGAGGAGGTATAATGTGCAGATTATGCGGATATATAGGATAACTGTCCAATCTGGACTTGCAAAGGTTAAGATTGTATAGCATCCACTTGTGAGTCTATTCCATCAAGTTGAGTTTTTTTTTGTTTACTGTACGGGTCCCCCTGTACAAGGCGAGAGACCAACAAAACTCCTTATGGTCGCATTTACCAACAAACAAGGTGACCGTCCAGAAGAGATGCAGAAGATTCCAAAGTCGTCTTCAGGACGTTGTTGAATTCAATGGCGATTTTTTGCATTGCATATATATATATATATATATATATATATATATATATATATATATATATATATATATATATATATTAAGAAAAGAACAGTAAGATATATAATCCGGTGTTGTTTTTTTGAAACATGCTTAGAACTGTGTGAAAAAAACATACTTTAAAATAAAATAGTTAATTTATATATATATATATATATATATATATATATATATATATATATATATATATGATTGGATAAATTACAAACATTATTAGTTTATTTGTATCATAATACTTTAATATTCATCTAGAAAGAGAACAGGTTAAAATCGTTTTGTGTCAGCTCCATTGTTTTCCGATTGAGAATGGTTAGCGTAAAAAACTCATTCAAGCCTTCAATAATGGAGCCAATATTCATACTCTGGCTTCCATTTTCGAAGTCCATTCAGGAATCATCAAGAGAACAGTGAATAAGTGTAAAAATGAGGGAACAGCAGAGAGGAAACCTGGATCAGGAGATCACAGCAGGAAGAGGGATTTTAATTTCAACTTAGAGCTAAAGAGATCAATTAGAAAAGATTCAACTTGTCCATGTCGTTTGGTACGTGAGAGATGAGTTTCTGCTATTACAGTCAAAAGAGCAGTGAAATTGACTTGAAAATAAAAACGTACGTGAAATCTGTGAAGCGAATTGTTACTTCAGGACAGAATGTTAGAAGATTAGAGGGAGAATATTATCTTGAATAGGTTGGAAGATGATATGAAATAATATATATATATATATATATATATATATATATATATATATATATATATATGACTCAGTAATTTTCAATCTGCTTGTTTGAATCATCTTCAAGAAGCGAGAGCAAGATCTAAAAGGTCAGCCAATCTAACAGTGATCTCATCTCACAATTCTCACACCTGCTACATATGTGTCCTCCTTTGAAAAAATCACTAGCGGGTCTTAAATGCCACTTAAGATTATCGCATAATCCTTCATAACTGGATCAATAAGCTGGCAGATCCTCATACGTCGAAACCGACGGAGAGTCCATTATTATAATTATCATCATTATTTTATATATATATATATTTATATATATATATATATATATATATATATATATTTGAACTTTATATCAATCCTTTATAAGCTTTCGATCCTTAGCTATGATTAATTAATGATGAACATGTCATTTTTGCTGAATTTATCGCTCGGAGAGTAATTATACATTCTTATTGCTCAAAGTAGAGTGCAAAAGTGTTCTAACAACTTCGGGGTATTCCTGTATGATATTTTTAATCATTTCTAAATTATATTGTTTCAGATCTTAATCTAACTAACGATTGAACAATTTTACAGTTATAGGATTTCGATAATTTTGCTGTTACATGTGGTATATATATATATATATATATATATATATATATATATATATATATATATATATATAAGTGAGGGAGGGAGGGAGGGAGGAGTGCATGTGTCTGTGTCTGTGCCTGTGTGCGCACGTGTGTGTGTTTCTGTCTGTGTCTGTGTGTGATGTAATCTCCCGTTGTCTTTGGCCACCTCGAGGTGGTCTAATGGTTAGCAAGTTTCCCTCGCTAGAACAATTACGACTGAGTATTGAGTACGATCCTCACTGAGTGCGCCATACTTTCGGCCTTCTGCCACATCTTAGCTACACTTGGAAAACCACTAAGTGTGTAAATTGCTCACTTGAGGGGATTGTAACACACCTATTTATCATCTCTCAGGCACGTCTTCTGTCTTTGGGCAGAGTGCACTCAAGGGCGACTCCATCAAAGGACAGAGTCGCCACTGAGGAAAATTATACTGAGAGGTGCCCAGCCCTGGGGGACAGCTGCACGAGGCCGCGTCCTCTCATTATGAAGGTGCCGCAGCTCAGTTCTTATCAGCCAGACTATCTGCATATATAATTTGATTGTAATGGTGGAGGCTTGTACAGAACCAAACGCACTCTTGGTAAGAACCTAATATATTGAACTGGTGTGCCTCATGGTATCAAAAAGGTCTCTCCTCAGGTGTTGAATTCAGTGTTTTCCTGCTCCTTGATTGTTTGCTAACCATGGCTGAGAAGTCCAGTCAGACCTATAAATAGCTAGCCGGAGTCGAAAAGATACGACATAGACATGAACTAATAAATAAGAATAAAAGCAGACAAGGAATATTAGTGGAGAATAACTAGATTACTGTAAAATAAAATGAATATGTTCTTGTTTCAACATATAATTATCAGTATGGATTTATGAGATAGATAGATAGATAGATAGATAGATAGATAGATAGATAGATAATGAACAGAGAGAGATAAAGAAAGAAAGAAAGAGGGGATGGAAAGATTGAGATAGATAGATAAATAGATAGATAGATAGATAGATAAGGAACAGACAGAGAGAGAGAGAGATAGGGAAAGAAATAAAGAAAGAAAGAAAGAAAGAAAGAAAGAAAAGAAAGAAAGGGATGAAAAGATTGAGATAGATGGATAGATAGATAGATAATGAACAGACAGAGAGAGAGAGAGAGATAGGGAAAGAAAGAAAGAAAGAAAAAGGGGATGAAAAGATTGAGATAGATAGATAGATAGATAGATAGATAATGAAGAGACAGAAAGAGATAGGGAAAGAAAGAAAGAAAGAAAAGAAAGAAAGATGAAAAACAAAGAAAGAGGGATGAAAAGATAATATTGAACACAGATAGAACACAGAGAGAGGAGAAAGGAAAGAAAAAAAAAGAAAGAAAGAAAAAAAGAAAAGAAAGAAAGAAAAGATGAAAAGATTGGATGAAAAGATTGAGATAGATAGATAGATAGATAATGAAGAGACAGAAAGAGATAGGGAAAGAAAAGAAAGAAAGAAAGAAAGAAAGAGGGATGAAAAGACAGAGATAGATAGATAGATAGATATTGAACACAGAGAGAGAGAGAGAGGGAAAGAAAGAAAGAAAGAGGGGATGAAAAGATTGAGATAGATAGATAGATAGATAGATAGATAGATAGATAATGAACCGAATGAGATAGTTAGAGATAGAAAGAGAGAGAGAAATGAAGAAAAAGAGTTGAAATGAAAAAAATTGAGACATATATATATATATATATATATATATATATATATATATAGATAGATAGATAGATAGATAGATAGATAGATAACATTTGACTTAGAACAGAGATTAAAAGAAGGATTTACGCAAACAGATTGTGGGCCTTGAAATGATATTTACCTATGCTATTTCTCAGATTTTCCAGTGTTCTAGCGTAACTGGCTGTCGAAGAGTTTTGGCTTTTTTTTTTCAGACTAAAATAAGCTTCGTAATCATCTACAGCTGCATAGTGGCTGATTACATAGTGACCCAAAGCAACTGAGGTGGTTCACACAGTATCAATGCAAATACAACCGAGAAAAATAATGAGAGACAAAGGAGATGAATGTAAAGTTTGATAGATATTGATAGGGAAATAGCCAAACCTGCGAATTTTTAAACCAATACACACTTTCAAAAATGTATTAGATTTATCGTTTGTCCAGCTAATTACTCTTGAAATTTTCCGCCGGGCATATCGCAATTTACAGACGAAATAAAAATAAACACAAACATACATATATATATATATATATATATATATATATTTGGAAGCACTAATAGGTTTCAGTAATGTTTGATGTCTACCAGAATAATTTGAAGTCAGCATTATATTAATACTTAGCGTTAAACACCGAGTCGGCTTTGAAAAAGACTTGAATAATCCCAAATCAGGAAAGATAAATTGTTTTGTTTTATATTCCAACATATAATATTTTATTATTATTTTTAGGCATTAAGTTTTCAGACCCGCATAACCTTGGTCCACTTGTGGATATCCAGTGAATATACAGAAAATGGCGGTGACATTAATACCAATCATAAATAGAGTACTGGGAATAATACTGGAAATAGAAGCGGAAACTCTTGAATTCCTGGAAATTAGAAGAAAAACCACGACCATCCATCCCCAAAAATTGCTAGAATGCTGAGAAGTTCTCTAACCCATCTAAACTCTTCTTTTGCATTCTGGCAATTTTCTTTGTGGAATTCAATGCATTTCCAGTATTATTCTAGTACTTATTTATGATTGGTATTAATGTCACCGCCATTTTCTGTATATTCATGAGCTAAATACTTGGGGAGGTAAAATGTATTATGAATCACGCCTATTCATTATTATTGTCCTCTAATGTCTACTTGAGTCGCAAAGTCAAAGAATATTCTACGAGGTTAAGTCAAAAATTATTCGCACTTTCGCCATATCATAAACTTAGGTTTGCCGCATTGGTTTCTACTCATGCGTGCTTATAGTTGGTAATATTATGGTTATGTCATCAAATATTCACTTGTTTGTTGATAAACTAGATTTTCTAATTAAATGTAAACATTTCGCAAAAATATTTTGATTGAAGTAACAGTATTTTATTTTTTTTTTACCCCTTTTGTATCTGGTCTTAAGATTTTGACAAGGGGTGTATATATAGATAAGTGTGTGTGTGTGCGTGTGCGTTTTTCTGCGTGTGCGTGTGCGTTTTTCTGCGTGTGCGTTTCCCTCTGTGTGTGTGTCTATGTAAGACGTGTATTCGGAAAATATTTAAATTTTGCAAAACACGGTACAATTTTTGGAAGCTTTTTAAAATATGTGTAATTGTTTTTAAATCTTCATTGTCGAGCAAAAGAAAAATAATTTCCAAAGAATTTTATTTTGCAAAACTTTCGATTGACGACATTAAGACAAATCCAGCAAAATTTTATTTAGCCAAAAATATAAATTATTTTAATCTTGTTTATGTTGTGTTTATACCATTTCAGAGTGAAATAGAAAAAAAAAATGATAATCAATTTCCAAACACATGTGACTTTTCAATGGAAGAAAATAAAGATCGTATAAGAATATTTTGAATTCTTTTATCAGATTCTTACAAATACTATGGGAGAAAAAGTCTTGAAATATGTGGTTGCAATGAAGTTTCGATCTTGAGGTTTAAAGTTGTTAAAATAAAAAAAAAATCATACTATCTATCTATCTATATATCTATATATTCATTGTTTTAATTCTATGTTAGGTTTCGGCTTGCATAAGCCATAATCAAAGATGGCAATTACAATAATGATAGTCTGTTTTTGTTGCATGAAAAATTTCAAAGCAACGACAAGAAAAACATACTGTCATTGATATATTGAAATGTACTTGTCACCTTTGACACCTGACGTAAGCCGAAAGCTTATATAGGATTAAAAAACATGTATCAATATGATTATTTCCTTTCCTCTTTTAACGATAATGTTATTAAGCTTATCAGACAATATGAAAGGATTTTACTTAAAATAAATAGACAAAACTTGTCTATATTTTTTAATGAAACATGCATCAATATATATATATGTGTGTGTGTGTGTGTGTGTGTGTGTGCGTGTGGTGAGAGAGATAGAAAGAGCGAGAGATAAGATCTTGGTCCTTTTGCAACCAACTATAGTCACTTTATCATTATACGTAGTGGCCAGAATATGATCATTTCATTCACTACTTCAAGTTGTTAAGAAACTCTCACCAAGGGACAGCTATTATTAGATGGATGCTTAAGGACTCGGTATAGGCGACGAATGGTTGCCTATAAACTCAAATATAAGGGTAACCGTAAGTTTACTTTAAAATTAAACTATTAAAGAAGAATATAACCTTTAAATAACCAAGCTGGGGTTGATATAATATACTCATATATATATATATATATATATATATATATATATATATATATATATATATATATGTGTGTGTGTGTGTGTGTGTGTGTTTCTGAAAATTTATTTCAGTTGAGCATTCTGGGGAGGAAGTGTGGGTTTGTAAACTGACTATTACGGTTAATAATGCAAGATTCTTCGGTAAATCGAATCGAGTTCTCTCAGTCACTGTGTATTTATCTAAAAATAAATACGCTTAAATTCACGTTCATCCCTGCCGTGCGCCAACGACTTAGTGGAGGAATCCCAGACTGACGCCAATTCACTCGGATTTCGATCCTAGCTAGAGGCAACCGGACGTCTAGACACACTGATGAGCTGTGATACAGCGAATGTGGCTGTCTGTGGATTACTCTCTCTCTCTCTCTCTCTATATATATATATATATATATATATATATATATATATATGTGTGTGTGTGTGTGTGTGTGTGTGTGTGTGTGTGTGTTGGGATGAAATATAGATCAATATGGGTTGTAATCCTAAAGAATGATCAGAAAAGAATATCTAACATGTTTCAATGAATTAAATATTCATCAGAAAATGAGATCTGAAGAATGAGATGAAATATATTCTGATGTTTCACTGATGCGTTGTTTGATTTTCAATGGGCAATCATGTTTCACGTGTATTCGACTATTCAAACCGACTTTAGTATAATTTGTGGCGTCTCGAGTTTGAAGGAGTTTCAAGAAATTATTTATCTTCTTTTAACAAAAATCGAATCATATTTGATTAATAAACGTTTCCTGTTTGCATTTTTAACTTAAATTTGCATTTTAACTTTAAATTTTAATATATATATATATATATATATATATATATATATATATATATATATATATATATATATAAGTGAACATAAAGTCAACACTTAGAGGCGACAGTCTGTTTCATGCTAGATGCAATCGTCAGGCCACGCATCAAACAGACTGTCGCCTCTAAGTATTGACTTCTATGTGTTGACTTTTATGTTCACTTTTATATTTACACACGATCTATCTCTGATATTGAGCACTTTATCCCATAAATATAGCACATCTTAAGACTAGATTTCTTCATATATATATATATATATATATATATATATATATATAAAATATAAATTTAAGATATGCTTTGCATATGGGTAGAAGCACATATTCATGCAAAAGCATGTATAAATATGGCTTGAAGATTGCGTTCAAGAAGGAAACAAACTCTCGACACTTGGTGTTGAACTCAATGTCCACTCTCTCTCTCTCAAACACACACACACAAACATATATATATATATATATATATATATATATATACTTCAGTTTTATGTCGTGATAACGTTGAATTATCCGAAATTCGTTTGATTTGATATTTCATTTTATTTCCCAGTTTGACATTTTTTTCGTTTTGTCTCTTTGTTTTTCTCTCTTTAACGCTTCCTCGTCTCTTTCTTCCATTCTCTCACACTTTGTTGCCCCATCGCTCTTTACTTTCTTTCTTTATTTTGCTTCTCAAACGTTTTATTTCGCCTTCCGTTTCTTCATTTCATTTGCTCGTTTTAATATATTTAATCTCTGCCATCTGTGGTAGAAATGCGATTGACTTGACGGATTACATATCTGGGAGGTAGATCTTAAGTAATTGCTGCCATTCTTTCTGAGCGGAGAGATTTGATCAATAAAACAATAAACAGATGGCTTTTCGTTTCGATCTTCGCATTTCCTTCGCTTATTCATTGCTTATTTATGTATTTTGATTGACGAATCGGCATGTATGGAGACATCTACGAAAATTTAATTATGCTTCCTCGGAAAATAATGAAAGGCGAATTTCAGCATTTCTATCTTAATATTAATATACATAATATTGGCATACGCCGTATTCGTAACTGCAGACGACAATCTATTTCTCTTTAATTGTTAAATCATTTCCATTGTGAAATAATTTAGAGCAGTCATTCTCAACCCGAGCCCTGAGGCTGGCAAGCGGGACTGAGAATTTCTTTTTTTTTTAATTCCTGGAGTTGGTCCAAGGAATATTTATTGCGGATTGAAAAGAGAGAAAACTGAAACAAGGTTTGTAAGTTCAACTTGACCAACCGATGCAAAGACAGCAGGAGTAGTGTACTCATTAATCAGATTTTATTATTCTATTACATTTTATTTTTGTAATTTTTTGGAGAGGGAACAGTAAATGAACAGGAATTAAGAAGACAAAAGATAACGATTAGGGTTGGATTTCAGTTTTTGAATATCGAAATTAACTGGAATGCAAGAGGTCGAAAAAGAGTTAAAATTGATATTGCATTTAAATTTAAAAAGATAAATTTGACAAGAAGGTAAAGAAAAGAAGATATTTACACAAGAGAGAAGTACGTGACAAGAAACTGTTAGCAAAGAAGGTACAGTTATATCGTGCGATTAGAAATATAACATGTTGAAACCTAGTTGCCAGTCTCGTAATGCGTTTAAATTCGTTAAGTTAAGGCAACAAAGTAGAAAACTCAACCAGTACAATTACTACGAAAATATTTATAGAAAAGTTACGGAGAACATTCATCACAGCAGTAGGAAAATGACTGAAGTATAAAAAAATATATAATTTGCTTTAGTTAAAACAAATTTGTTCTTATTGTTATGTGTTATTTAATATTATTCCCTATATAGAAATAAATTTACGAATATTACTTACTAATTAATAGTAGAAGAACATTCCAAAATGAACAAAAATCAGTCAGTCAAAAACTATTGCCTGATTTTTTGTCATCGTAAAAGATTTAACAGTAAAATTCTACTGAAAGTATACCAAAATGAAGTTTTAAAAAAATCTCAGTATTGAAAATGGGGTCTTGAATACAATCTTCTTTCTCGATAGTCATATCCGACCATTGAATTAGGACATGTCTATCCGCTTTGCAAATGCTTCTTGACTGTCTTTTGAGAATTGCCACATACACGTCATCATCGTTGGAAAACCTTTGTCACAAGCACTTCTCCTTCTTGCCAAACAATCGTCCTCTGCTTCTTTCATGGAGTCCATCTGGTAAAGATCATCTAATCATAACAGAACAATTTCTTTGCACCTTTACTTTTTGCATCCGTTCTATTCCTCTAGGCAGAGATTTTTTCCTTTTCACAGATTCCTGTAAATTTACCATTT